CACAGGACTGGAAAAGGTCAGTTTTCCTTCCAATCCCTAAGAAAGGCAATCCCAAAGAATGCTCAAACTACTGCACAATTGCACTCATCTCACACGCTAGTAAAGTAATGCTCAAAATTCTCCAAGCCAGGCTTCAGCAATACGTGAACCATGAACATGATAAGTGAGGGGCATTTCCAGATCCAAGGCAGGATGTGATGGAAACACCTGTTTCTTCCAGACCTCACTTATCTCAGTGTCCCAGGGGCCTAGCATAAAACAGGCCATGGGTTCATGAAGAAGGGATTGTGACATAGTAACATCATAATGGCTACAGATTAGTTAACTCCTCCTCTCATGCCCTCTCCCAGGAAGGAGTGGCACCTCTTGCAATGTATCTTTTAAGAGTGGAAGTGGGGAGAAGAGATTCAGAGTGCATTCCAAAGGTGAGTACAATTGCAGAACAGAGTCAGGAAGGAGATGCATAGTTATTGGCCTCTAGTCTGAAGAGTGAAAGAACCTCAGAGTTCAGAAAGATGTTAAAGGCTATCTCTGCCAGTTGTCTTTTCAGTGCCTTATCCCCCTAGGACAGCTCTGACAAGCAAATGCCCAGCCTCTGCTTGAATACCTCCACTGATGGGGACCTCCCTACCAAACAAAAATCCATCCCAGTTCTGTATGGCTCTGTTAGAAAACTGAACTTTTGGTTGAGTGGAAATCTATCTTCTTGTAGCTTCCACAAAACTGGATCTAATTCTATCTGTCAGAGGCTAGAGAACAAGCCAGCTTTCTCTTAAACACAATAGCCCTAGAGAGATTTGAAGTAAATGAAACTGTCCTCCCTGAGTTTTTCTTCTCCAGGCTAAATACTCACGGGTGCTTGAATTGTGTCTCTTCTCACATGATCTCCAGGCCCATCATCAAATCTGTGTCCGCTGATGGCTTCCCACTTTGACTACAGCTCTCCAAGTATGGCACTAGACCACTCCACAGAGCACCTGCTCACGTCAGAACAGAACCATCCTTTCCCCGCTATGAAAGCTTCTAGGATCAGAAGCCATACTCTTGAGTCCCAAGGGGTTCCAGGGATTTTGGGTGAATTTATTTTTGGTTAGAAGAGGGCAGCAAAGAAAAAAGAATGAGTTAGATGTCTCTGGTTGGGAAGAGATGAAAAAAGCTAATTTTTTTTTTTGAATGCTTATTACATACCAGACACTGTGCTTAAAATTTAACAGGAATTCTCTCATTCAATCCGTTCAACCACTCTTATTGGTGGTACTGTTATGATGACCATTTCACAGCTGAAGAAACTGAGGCTTAGAGAAGCTCAGGATTTTCCCAGGCTATGTGGTGTATGCCAAGACTCAGGCCAGATATTAACAGGGAGTAATGGGTAAAGATTTGGCTTCAACAAAAAGCAGCATCTGTCCAGTGATTATGCTTCAGAAAAGGGTATGACAGTGAAAAGTGGTTAGGGGTGAGCACAGGACTTCTAAGGGCCCAGAGATCAAGAGGGAGAAAGCCACACCAGGGTGGTACAGAAGTATATGATGTACAGGGCAGCAGTAACAGCTATCATTTACTAAATGTGTACAAAGTCAGGCATTTTGCATACATAATCTCCTCTAATCCTCACAACAAACCTATCTAGGAGTTACTACCATTACGATCGCTATGTTACAGAAGAGGAAAATGAGGCTTATTGAGGTTAAATGACTCACCAAAGACTACACAGCTGGTAAGTGGCAGTGTGAGGATTAAAGTTCAGACAGCTGACTCCAGGGTGATGCCCTGTACTGACTCTCAAAGGGAAAGCCTGTTGGCAAGAAACTTAAGGGAAGACATTTTCTCTCCCAAGAGATGGGGGATCCCGGAACTTACAAGGGAACTCAGGGCTGCTGGCAATGCCTTGACAAGACAGAATAGGTGTTCTGGAAGAGACAATTTTGCCAGACACTTTAAATCAGTAGTGCCAATACTGAGGCTATCCTAAATTGATATTTTGTCGGAAAGGTGGTCCTGGAGGCCCGGGAACCTCATTCAAATGAATATCCATGACCAGATACACTATCTCAGAATCAGAAACCCAAGTGTTGAAAAGTCATCTGTTTTTGTGCTTTTGTAGTTCCCTTTTTCCAAAAAAAAAAAAACCAATTTGCTTTCACTCAGTTTAATGGTGACCAAACTTTAGTGTGCATTGGACTCATCCAGAGGGCTTGTTAAAACACTAAGTCCTGGACCTCAGCCCCTGGAGATTCTGATTTAGTAGGTCTAGGGATGAAGCCTGAGAATCTGTATCACTAACAAGTTACCAGGTAGTGCTGATTTAGCTGGTCTGGAGATTACACTTAAGAACAAGGGCTTTGGTTTATTAGAAAAGCTACTTTTGAAATTATCTAAACTGACTTGGCTGTGAAGAGGCAAAGAACTTGCCCCTAGGCCAGAAGCAGCGGGAGGGGGGCGGGATGCAGACAGTGCCCAGCTAGGTGAGTGACTGCTCTATGGGCTGCAGAAGACAGAAGTCACAGCTAGAAGAGACTAGCTGTTTACAGATGAGGATGATGGAGAAGCAGAAGGCCTGGGAAGCTGGGCAGGGGAGCCAGACTGGCCAGGGACAGAGATCTGGCGAGGGCAGAAGTCAAAAGGGGTAGCAGTCTTGTCAAAAGCTGCAGGCTCTTGGCAGGGCTGCAGGGAAAGAACTAGAGGAACGAGGAGGCATGGGGCCAGGAGTGAGCTCCTGGGATATGGCCTGGGACAGAATCTGGCGATCACATTTCAGCTGTGGCTCATGGTCTCTAAAGCCTCCCCCTGTGGTTAAGCCCATCAGACCTGGAGTACCCAGAAGTTGCTCTCTGACAATAGTGAGCTGAAGTTCTTGCAGCAAGAGAACTAGGACAGTGCTAAATGCTATTTCTTCTTCCCTTAGCGGTGCGTCCCAGGGTGCAGGCAGAGTCAGGACTGGGGAGCTCACAGTCTGGTGGTTTGACCTCTGATGTTCTTCAGTCTCTAGGCTTCATTTCTCCCTCTGGGAAACTGACTCAGCTGCAGCGCATGTGCACTCCGCAGATGCCTGCGTCGCTGCAGCAGTGTGCTAGCTGCTGGGTGGCTGGCTGTTCTCATCTCTCCTCATGGAACCGGGCAGCTAGGAGAGCAGGCTCTTTTCCTTTGGTACCAAGAGAAGGAGCAGCATCTCTCTCTGCAAGACTGCAGGCAACTGCTTTCAGATACAGTAGCAAAACTGCACATAGGCCCTCTCTGGACCCTGGCCTTCAAAAACAACCCGCTTAGCCTGAACTGGTTCTTTTCATCCCATTTCTTGTATGTGTTTGTCCAGTTAAAAAAGAATTTAGCGAATGCATAATAGATGGCAGGCCCTGGGCTGGGGATACATACAGATACGGGTAAAAGACATCTCAACTCACAGGTATAGTTGGGGAGATCATCTACAGAGATAATTATGGCCTTGTAGGATAAATGTTATTTCTGAAACATAGAGCGCATGCCCTCTTAGGACCTTTGTATTTGCTGTTTCTTCTATCTAGAATACTCTTCTCCAGATGTTTGTATGCTTAATCTTTCACTCACTTCACTCATGTCACTCCTGAGAGAGACCTTCCCTGACCCTCCTACCGAAAGTGGAGCCCACACAATTCTGAGTCTATTTACCCTATGTAATTTTTTTCTGTGAAAAATTAACCTCCTCATATATATATGTGTGTGTGTGTGTGTATAGATGTATATTTTTTATATTTGTATATAAATTGCCTCAGTTCAGTTCAGTCGCTCAGTCATATCCGACTCTTTGCGACCCCATGAATCGCAGCACGCCAGGCCTCCCTGTCCATCACCAACTCCCGGAGTTTACTCAAACTCATGTCCATCGAGTTGGTGATGCCAGCCAGCCATCTCATCCTCTGTCATCCCTTCTCCTCCCGCCCCCAATCCCTCTCAACATCAGGGTCTTTTCCAATGAGTCAACTCTTCGCATGAGGGGGCCAAAGTACTGGAATTTCAGTTTCAGCATCAGTCCTTCCAATGAACACTCAGAATTGATCTCCTTTAGGATGGACTGGTTGGATCTCCTTGCTGTCCAAGGGACTCTCAAGAGTCTTCTCCAACACCACAGTTCAAAAGCATCAATTCTTTGGTGCTCAGCTTTCTTTATAGTCCAACTCTCACATCCATACATGACCACTGGAAAAACCATAGCCTTGACTAGACGGACCTTTGTTGGCAAAGTAATGTCTCTGCTTTTTAATATGCTGTCGAGGTTGGTCATAACTTTCCTTCCAAGGAGTAAGCGTCTTTTAATTTCATGGCTGCAATCACCATCTGCTGTGATTTTGGAGCCCAAAAACATAAAGTCTGACGCAGTTTCCATTGTTTCCCCATCTATTTCCCATGAAGTGCCTAGTCACTGCTGATTCTCAGTGCGTAGAATTGGGACCTAACAGATATACAATATATTTTTTCCTTTGTTCATTCACCATACGTGGTTGTCCAGTTGAACTTTCCTGAGCCTCTCCAGTCATCAAAATGGAAGATGAGACTTGTCTGCTTGGGGAAGGACATTTTCAAGCCTATCATCCCACCTTTTCTAGTTTCTACTGTCGTCTTAGTCCAGACGGAACAGGTTCTAGATTCCTACCAATAACCATAAATACTGAACATTAACTACATACGGGGCACTTCCAATACGTAATCTTCACAATGCTTTGCAAAGTCAGCATGATTTCTCGTGTTTCACCAAAGATGAAACAGGCTCAGGGAGAGTATTCGTTTGCTCAAAGTCAGAGACAGCAAGGTGCCCAGGGGGCTCTCTGGGGAAGGTCTCCCAGGCTTCACAGTTTCTGTCTCCCAAGTTTCTGTCACGTTTCTACAAGGCTTTCCCCATGTTTCCACTACGTCCCCCGCCCTTTCTTTCTCACTGGACAGCTGGGCCTGGCTTGCCCCAGTTGCTTCTCCAAGGCTAGCGTAAGGAGGTGCTTCAGAAGGTTGCCGGGTGGAGAAGTGGCTGATCTATCCCCAGGGCCACAGCTTTCCTTCCCCCGCCCTCCTCACGGACACGGCTGCTGGACGCCCAGTGGTCCAGTTCAAGGCCTGCGCGCTGGAGGAAAAAGGATGGAGGGAAAGAGGGAGGGGCTTCTTCAAACGATCGGCTGGACAGAGGGGCGAGCACCCCCTCCCCTCAGCGGCTCGCTCGGTGCGCAGGATAATCAGGCCCCCTCCCCACCCCGCCGCAGCCCGCCTGGCAGCAGGGCGCGTGCGCAAGGCGCTCCTCGCCCCCTCCCTTCGGCGTGCCGCCCTTTCACCCTGGCAACCGCGGCGCGACTAAGGCGCGCGCCTGGCTGGGCGCGGATGGGGCGGGGCCGGGCGGCGCCTGTGCGGGCTGAAGCTGAGGCTCGGGCGGCGGCGGCGGCGGCCCAGTAGAGCCACGGCCGTGGGTAGCGCTCTCGGCCTGTCCGACCTCCCTCCGCCACCTCGCAAAGTTCTTCGACGCGGTCTGGGGTCCAGCGGACGCCGTCCCTGGCCATGGACTCCCAGAAAGTAAGCTGGGGCGGGGGCCGCTGGGTCGCCGAGGCCGGGCGGAGGGTGGGCGGGGCGCCCTGAGCCGGGCGCCCTGGGCCGGGTGGGCGGTGGGCGCGCTGGGCCGGCTGAGCCGGGCTGAGCTATGGCCGCGGAGGGCGAGGCCGCCAGGCACCCTTCTCTGGGGAGTAAAGCAGCGCCCGCCGGGTGCGGGGGCCGCGCCCGCTAACCCCGGATAGCCTCTGCCCTGCAGTTCTGGGCCCTGGCTCCCAAGGGGATATCGGGAGCCGCCCCCATTTTCCCCCCATCATTTTCTGCAACGATTTAGGCCCCTTGTGATTCTGGTAGCCTTCCCGCGTGCTAGTGAGGGTTTATCCATCCTCAGCAGAAGAGGAAATCAAAGCACCTAGTGGTGTACCTGCTGACGCCGAGTCTGACCCACTCTCCTCCACCCAGTCTTCTCCTATTTTGGCGCAATCTGTGTCTCCTTAGGTCGGGAACCAGGTCTCCTTGGTACCCACCTCCCCCTCCCTCCTCCATCCCCTCCACACGCGCCTTTTGCACCGCTCCCCACCCCCGCCCCGCCCTCCTTGGGACTAGTTCGCCGGCACGTCTTACTGTTCATAGTGTTGGTTGAATTGGGAGAATAGACTGATAGTTGTCCAGGGCAGCGGTCCCACCCTCTGGCCAGTTCAGTGTTACTGGTCAGTTCCTTTAATGATTGTTTTGGTATATTTTATACTTTCTGAGCAAGTTAAGGAAAGGGTATAACAGAACTAGCCGTTTCCATTAACCAAAAATATATTTAGAGAACGTAGCCAATGTTATGAATACAATTAGAAGTGAGTTAATACTGAGTCATAATCCCTATATAGAAATCAACCACCGTGCTCTCTTTATTAGATTATAGTAATTGAAATAGTACAGTATAGGAAGGAAACACGAGTGTTATTAATAATAACAGGCAAAAACAAGAGCCCATTCTTTTCTATTATTAGATAGGAAGCACTGGAAAGACTTACTAGAACGATGTTTTCTGTAATTTTGCCTGGAGTCATCTTGAGGAACACAGTGGGGCATGAGAGAATAGTGTAGTGATGTGTTAAACATTAACTGTTATAGTATTTAACAAAAATCACATGATTTCATTGTATGTGTTCATCCTGAAACTCAGATATACTGTTTTATTCACGTGACTATTAGACATTTAAA